ATGTCCTCTGATTCCAAACCCAGTGCTCCTTCCACTGTGCCAAGATAGTGGTTTATAAAATACACCTTCCTCACAACAACTTCAGGAGCAAATTAAGGAAGAATACTATTATCCCCATTTTACAGGTGAAGAAACTGAGACCCAGAGAGGAGAAATGCTTGCTCAAGGCCACAAAGCAGGTCACTGAAACTGGTGGGCCTAGACTCTACCCCTCCCCCCCAAACCTAGGTTTCCTGACTCTCAGGCCAGTGATTTTTACATTCCTGAATGCTATGCAAACCTGAAGAACTGTTTTGAGACCCCCCAGCCCAGGAGGCAGCTCCATCCATCTTGAAAATCATCCTGGCTCCTGCCAGCTGATGAAGGAAATAAAGCTAATGACGCCCGCATCAATGCAATGGTGTTGCAGGGCGCTTGCGCGAGCCACCTGATGGGGAGCTCTGCGGGCATCTCCGTTCTGAGGGAAATAATTTTTAGTGCACCTTTAATGCATCTGCATCCCCTTTTCAAACTGCCAGGGTTCCGTGAGGGGCCGAGAGCCTGACATTTGCTTCCTTTGATACTTCCCCTTAACCTTCCCTATGCCTAGCATGGTATGGGGGCACACAGCAAGGGTTCAAAAGCTTGGTGAATGTTAAAAAGTGAAAAAATGTGCAATCTTTCTGAAATGGAGTCAGTGGAACCATTGGGAAAAAACATCAGTCCTGAGCTTTCTTAGCCAGGAACCTGTACTTACAGAAGTAGACCTTAGAGATTGTCAGAGTTGAAAGCAACCATAGGGACCACCTGGGTCAACTCTCTTATTTTATAGAGGAGCTAACTGAGTCTCAGAGAAGGGATATGACTTGTCCAAGGACCCATGGGCAATTAGTTATTGGAAGAGTCAGGCCTTAAACAATTGTCATGAGTCTCAAGTGGTGTTTTCCACTACATCAGGCCACTGCTGCCACCTCTTTTTATGGACAAGGTAAAATTGATTTTCTAAAATCCTTGCTTCTCTGAACCATGACAAGAGTCATACCAAGATGGGGTGATACCTGCCCCCATCTCTAACTGACACCAACCTTCAAAATGAGTGTGAATTATTTACCAGTTGAAAACTACTTAGAAAAAACCCAACAGACTAAGTTCTTTGCCCAGGAGGAACCTTGGAAATATCAGATATATCTTCTTTACCCCTCACATGGCCTAAGTCATAACTCTTCTTGCATGAGTTAATTAAGCTGGTGGTGCTATTTGTGGGTTGAACTGAACATTATAGTCAAGAATAAACTTTGAAGGAAGGTCCTTGACAACCTGGCCAATCCTAGATGCTCCTCAGTAGTCCTAAGGCCATGGCTCAGCAGGGCCAAAATATATTAGGCAGGGCTAAAGAAAGACTGCAGCTTCACTGGGGAAAAAGAACGAAGTGGTCACTAGCCGGTGGGAAGGACCATAGAAAGTGAAAGAGATTTTGCCTGTTATAGCCTAGAGCTATTGAACCACAGAGAATACAATTGGAAAGAACTTTAGAACATAGAACATAAAATGTCAGTGTGCGGGTGACCTTAAACCAAAGGCTGTCACAGTCAGAAGGGATCTTAGAACATAGAATGTCAGGTCTGGAAGGGATCTTAAAACATAAGATCATAGAATGTCAGAGTCAGAAGGGGTCCTAGAGATGATCCCATTGCTTAGTCTAATCCTGTCATTTTTGTGGATAAGGAAACTGAGGTTCAAGGAGTTTTAATGAGTTTCCCAAGGTCATACAGTGAGTGGGCAAAGACAGGATTAGAACCTAGTTCTTTTGGGTCACATACCCCTTATGTTGTCCTATCATTTGCCACACATCAGCAAATATTCCTTTTCTCTACAATCCTTTCCTAGTCCAAATAGTGACAGCTTTGCTGTAGAAACCCAATAGTTCAAGGGGCTGTTGCCTCTAGGGTTTTAATGGGTGTGTGTGTGTGTGTGTGTGTGTGTGTGTGTGTGTGAGATTTATTGAAATGTCTAACACATGAGAACTTATAAAGTAGTAGGTATGGGGTTCAGAACATTTTCACCCCTGAGATTTCCTCACAAGGTAAGCAGCTGACAGCATTCTATGTCTTCCCTAGGAATCATGTAGTTTATCTATACCCAATTTAGTGCAAACAAGCAAAGATTGGGGTTATTTCTTTCCCTATGTTGCCAGTATCAAATCCCACTTTTAAATAAAGATGGCAATACTTACTCAGCTATTTGGCTTAAATCATGAATCTCTACGGCCAAGTGCACAGAAGAGAGGGGGAATAATGGGACAAAAGGAACCTAGTGATGTTACCTCATTGTGACCCTTCTTTTCCCTCTCTTGAAAAATGACTGACATGGCTTCCCTCATTTGATTCCTATATCTTCTGTGTTATACGTGGTAAAGAAATCATTGTTAAGCCTAGTTTTTACATTTGCTACCTATGTGACCTTGGGAAAGATCATTTAACTTCACTGAGCATCAGTTTTTTCATCTGTAAAATGTGTGTGTGTGGGTTGAACAAATGAATTTCTAAGCTCCCTTCCAGATACAGATACTGTCATCCTATGAACATCTCACCCCTAAAATAAGGTAGGTTGTCCAGTGTATCAGATGCAGTTCTACTTACCGCTCTCCTCCACCCCTACCTCCCACATGCATAAGATGTGGCATTTCATTCTCCAAGAGCACATGGAACCATATCACTACTCACACACATTGTGTATCACATATCTGAAAGAATGATGGGGGAGAAGGAAGCTGAGCATAGTAAGTCTTTCTGTTACAACCAACAGAATGAGCTGGGTCCTTCCACAATCCTATCAAAACAATTAAAATGCAAATCTTTCTTTTCTGTGGCATGTCTCCCCTTTGTGAAATGCAATGTCTGAGACAGAAATATCAAACACTGCAAAGTGTTCATTAAAAAAAAGGGAAGATGTGCTCAGTCCTATTAATTTGCTCTTTAATCTCTCTAGTTTAGTCCTACCTCCTGTAAGCCAAAAGGAGAAGCACATTTTTGCATACAAATGTTACCCACTGGCCTACCTCCTCAGCATTTTGCAGTTCTACCACATACTTTAGGGGAGGGAAGATCTGACATCATTAGTTGAGAGGACAAACTGAATGCTTCTTTTAAAGTCATAGAATCATAGCATGTCAGATTTTTAAGGAACCTTAGACATTATCATGAGGCCAATCTCTCCATTTAGCAGAGTGGGAAACTGAGGTCCAGAGAGGGGAAATGACTTGTCCAAGGTTATACACAGTGAGTTGGTAACAGAGATGAAACTAAAACCCACATTGCTTGACTCCCCAGCCCAGTCTTCTTCCTACTATTTATAGGCCAATATAGCCCCCTAATTTCTATTTGTCCCTACTACCCCCTTCTGATTAATTTTTAAAAGTTATCATTGGAAACAGAGGTTGAAACCACAAATCATGGGAAAATTTGAAGTGTGTGTGTTGTTTCATTTTCTCTTACAGTCTGAAAGGAGGAAGACAATAAGAGGGGATACCCTGGTCAGGTGCTAGCTTAGGACTGTACAATTCCAAAGGGGTGGGGGAGAGAAGAAAAAACCTTCAGTCAATAAACCTACCAATTCATTAGCCAAACTGACAGATCATAAGCAGAGTCCTCGGCTATTTAATAAAACATCAGTGCTGACAATAACAAGACCCTGACACTTGTTTGTCGGTACTGGGGGAGAATAATATTCATTGGTTACTTATTAAAAACCCCAACATTGCCTGTTTTTGAAATGACTCTTAATCAAATGCCAGGTTGAGGCACAAGAGGCGGGCAGCCCAAATGAGGAAGATGAATGATCCCTGCAGGTTGAGAGGGAAGAATGATTTTTTCCAATTCGAGGATATGACATTTATCATCACCCTCTCTGAGCATGGGATGATTCAACCACTTACAACAGGGCTATCTGTTTCAAGGTTTCCCAGGCAAAGGGTTTGGCACTTTTATACCACTCCCTGTTTGAGAGATGCAAGTCTGCAGGGCACTGATGTTTAAATCCACAAGGGGGTCTAAGCAGTGGGGAGGGGGACGGGAGGATCCCTCATCTCTTTGACAGAATAAATTAAAAATAAAAAAGAACCTAAAATTAATCAATTAGGAATCTCCTGGGATGATAAAATAGAATATGGGGGGGGGATAAGTATAAAGTTTCAGACTGGAAATCTATTTCCTGGCTATTTTAGCTCATAAATCATGGTTCCCAGATATTTAAAACCAGAAGGGACCTTAAAAGACACAACACAGAATGTCAGAGTTCTAAAAGGTCTTACAACACAGAACACAGAGCAGGAAGAAACCCTAAAATTTAGAAGAGAATGTTAGAGCTAGAGACGAACTCAGCTCTTTCATTTTGTAGAGGAGGTAGTGAGGCTCGTTTTTTAAACGTCTGTTCTTAAAAATAATAAAACTCATGTGTGTGCTTCCAAACACCAGGTGCTTTCTAAGCTGCATCACCAATGAGACTACACTATAAACCCCTGTTCCTTCTCCTATCTCTACCTCCGTCCTCCAAACAGAAACCAAACTAAAAGCATATGGAATGTTCTGTGTGTCCAGCGAGCTCAAGTGCAACCTTCCCCCCCACCACTAGTTGTCCCTCCTCTCTCAGACCGAGGAGAGCCCGGGTTTTCGGCACTGCGGTTAGAGAGAATGCAGTCCTCATTAAACTCAGTAACTCATACTGCTCCCCCTTAAAGTCCTCAATCGTGTGTGAGCCAACATGCAGAAGGAGGTGGGTGAGCTATAGTAAAGGGGCTACAAGACATGGCAAGCGGAACCACAGCCGCCTAAGGGACCTACAGCCCCCAGACCTTCCTCCCCACACCAATCAGACAGCATGCCCCGAATGCAGAGGTTCTCAGCCCCTAGCTGAAAAGGGAGGGGGACTTGGTCAGAGCCCGCCTCCAGTACGCTCTCCCCACCTCTCCCTCCGCATCCCAGCACCACCGTGGTGTGGTCAGTAGAAAAAAAAAAATCGCATACCTGAAGAATACAATCGTCTCCCAAAGGTACAGCCTGAGTGTATTAAAGCTGCACATTTTCCCAGGTCCGATGCTTTTGTAGTCCACGAGTTTTAGGGGCAGAAAAGATGTTTAGAATTGGCACTTACAAAACCAAGTGAATCAAGAGCTGGGACTTTTCCACTGGCGATTTAAAAAAAAAGTACAATCCAGATGTTGGGGTTGGAACCCCCAAAAGGAGGAGATGGATTTCAGAACCACGGATAGCGCCTGGCTCCCAGTCTTTCAGACAAGGGAGAGTATTGCCGTTTAATAAACTCTAGCTTGGCTGATCTCTCCCTGCCGCGGTAGGGTGGAGGGGCTGAGTTGGTGTATTTAGGGTGGGCTTGTTTCCTTTTATTGTTCTCCCCCTCCTTCTTTTTCTATTTAAACGGACAGATCCCTGCAAGGTGAAGAAAAAATATTTCTCCTGCGGAGATCAAAAGGCTGGCCTTGGACGGCTGGACCCGGCAAACATCGTGGATTGGGAAGGGCTTTCGGCTCTGGCGCTGGCAAGAGGGTTGGGAAACGAGGTGAGGGGCTGGGAGGTGCTTGCTTCAGTTAAATCCCAGGGAATGTGTCAGGCAGAGTCCGGGAAGGCTCACTCCCCTACCTCCAGGCTGGCTGCTGTCTGTCGCCTCGCGATTCCTGCTTCTCTGTTCCCCCCACCCCCCCACCCGCCAGATAAGTTATGATCGCTGCAGGGCAGGTGTCCCATCGCTTGGGGCTGGAGACGCGAGAGGGCTCGGGGCAAGTTTCAGTGGCTGGGGGTGGTCCATGGCGGTCCAACTGGGCAGGAAAGGAGAATTCTTCCAGCGGTCTCTCTCTCTTTTTACTTGTCGGCGCTGGCCTCCAGTCTCCCCATCTCCCCCCGTGCCAAGACAGGACTCCTTCAGTTCCTCGGACTTTCTCGCTGCATTAATTTACTAAACTGGGGGAGGGAGGGGAAAGGGGGAATAGGGGGTAAGAAGGGGGAAAACATTCCCTAGTCTCTTCAAACCCACCCACAAGCAGAGCTCATTGGCCTGCGGCTCCGAAAACCTGCTCTCCCCCTCCTACGGACCAATCGCGTGTTAGGCCCCAGGACGCATTAACTCGTGAAGTGCTGGAAGATAGTCTCACTTTTGGGGGAGTAAGGGGAGGGTTGGATAAAGACATCTCTTTTTTTCCTTTTCCTCTAGGTCTAGGACATCTTCTTACAAGGACCTTAGGAATTTAGCTTGGCCAAGACACAGAGCTGGGGTGTAGGGAGAGATCGAAATCAATGTCATTTGATTAGGTGGGGAGAGGTTTTAACCTGAAGTTTCATTAAAGTGGGAGGGAGAGGCCAGGAGGACAGAAGATATTTAGCTTCGAATCTCGCCAGCGCTGACACTCAGTTCCCGTGACTGTTGCGGCTGGAGGAAGAAAAAGTGAGACTGGCCTTAGGGGCGACCCTCTTTTCATTTGTTAAACAGAAGTCTTCGTGTACTGGGCTCTCAAGTCTCCCTCTCCTCTCCCTCGACCCTGTCTCTGCAGGACTTCCTTCTCCTCTTCTCTTCCTTCCTGCCCTACCACCCGTCACCTACACAAGTTTAGCTAGTTTTGGAGTGGATAGGCGTTAAAAACCTTTTCTATTTTCCTTTTCTCTTGTTAAAAAAAATCCCTTCCCCTTCCTTCTTTTACCTTTTCCCTCTCTTCCACTTCTCTCCTCATGTCTCCCCTCAGCCATCTTTCTCCTCTCAGGACCTCTCTTAATCTTCCCCTCACCTCTCTTGTAAGAATAGTAGAAGGAGGTGCGAGGAACAGTAAGGTTAGGTGACTTTTTATTTTTCGGGACTAGGGGTCCTTGAGTGAATCGCTCCCCACACCTCCCTACCTCTTTCACCCTCTAGGCCTGGCATCCACAAGTATAGAAATCCCGATATCGTTCTTGCAGTGGCTCTTTTAAAGGTTCTCTTTTTCTTGATCCTTACAGAGTGGCTGGGAAGAAAAAGTTAATCAGATTTTCCCTGGAGCTACTGGGCTGCAGCGGGACCCACAGCGGATTAACAAATAGCCGAGATATTTTCAAGCCGGGTTGAACTAGCGGGACTTCGGCCCTACACTCAGACCCTGAGATGCTGAGGTGCGAAGGCTTTCCTCCCTATCCACATTCCCCAGAGATAGGGTAGGCCTCTTTCCTACGCATTCCTCAGGTTAAGGAGAGTCAGCTTCCTTGGTCTTTACTCAGCTGAGGTGCAGACAGCCCCCTCCCTTCTCCTCAAATAAGGACAATCTTTTCTCCTCCAAGACATCTCAAAGACTTCTGAACGCTTTCAACAGATCCGAGTGCACCAGAGAGAAATGCAGGTCCTACACTCTCAGTGGGGATGTGAGAAGGAGGAGAGGGGTTTGGAACTTTTGGCTCAGGGAGCACCAACCTCTCCTCCCCTCCCCCCTTTTCTCTTCTCGCCTCCCTCCTCCTTATCCCCTCCTCTCTTCTCCTCTCTCTTTCTCCCCCCTCCTTTCCAAAACTCCTCCTCTTTCTCTCCTACCATCACCATACTAGCTACCTGGGCTCTTCACCTCCTCCTCAGGCCCAGACCTAGGATTACTATTGAGGTACTGGGAGATTATTAAAAAAAAAAAGCAACCTCTCACAGCTCCGGAGGGAGCAGTGGAGAATCCTGGAAAAAAAGGTAGTATGTGTATCCTGCAAAGTAGTCACGTTTACCTATGTGTCTGTGCTGCTGTATTCATGCATGTGTGTGAATATATGAATGAACCTGTTTGTATATGTGTATTTCTATGTATCTATTCTCTCTCCCTTCCTCCCTCCCTCCCTCCGTGTGTGTATATTTGTATTGTAGTGTATGTTCGGATGTACTGTGGATGTGCTTAGAATCTATGTGCATTTATGAGTGTAAATATTTTATTTGTGTGTATATTATGTATATTTAAAAGTACACGTATATGTGTATTTCTAAAGATTTCTGATGGTTTATCATGTAGCTTGAAGGAGACTCTGGGTTTTTATGGTCTATGTCAGTGTATGCATGCTTGGATAAGGCCTACTAAGCCAGAAAGATTTCAAGTTTAGGACTGGTGGTACATTGGAAGTCTCTCACTGGAGGGCTAACCTTGTTAACTGTGGAGAAGCTTGTCACCATTGGGGAGAAGGGGAGGGGTGAAAGATGGCCAATAGGTGAAGATTTTTTTTCATTCCTTGCAATTCATAAAGACAGTTTGTTAAGCTTAGAGTGTCAGGTGGAGGGAGTGCTAAAAAGGATGAAATATTCAATCCTTCAAATATTGAAATAAGATTTATACTTATATGAAAAGCCCTGAATTGGGAGTCATGAGCTGGGTTCTAGTACCCATTTTTGTCACTTAATATGTGACATTTTGTGACATTGGGCAACTCAACTAGACTCAATAAGCTAGATACCTACTCAGTTCAAGGCACTGTGATAGTCATTGAGCTAACAAAGACCTTCAGGAAGCTTATATTGTTTTGGGGAAAATGATATGTGCACACATAAATAAATATAAGGTAAGTTGAGGAGGGAGAAAGTACTAACAACTGTGTGGATCAGGAAAGGCTAAATGCAGGAGGTGGCACCCAAGGTAACCAATGAAAGACAATACAGATTCTGAGAAGTGTAGGTGAGAAAAGAATGGATTCTAGGCACGAGACTCTTCAAAGGCTTACACGTGAGAGATGAAATGTCAGGTTCAAGGAACAGCTAGCAGGCTAGTCCCTGCTTCCAATCTTTCCCCCTCTCTAATTCATCCTCCATGTAGTTACCAAATTAATATTCCTAAAACATAGGCCTGATTCCGTCTTTCCCTTTCTCAGAAATCTTGAGATTTGTATCTTTAGGATACAATATATCCTCAGCCTAGAATTTGAAACTTTCCATGATCTGTATTCAACTTACCTTTTCAGGTTTATTTCATACTACTCCCCTTTATACACTTTCTATCTTAACAAAACTGAACTAGCTGCTCCTCAAACTTGGCATTTCATTTCTAATATCTGAACCTTTGCATGTGCTGAACTCCATGCCCAGAATGCTCTCCTTCCTCACTACCTCTTCAAGGCTCCATTGGGATTCCATCTTGTAAGCAAAGCCTTTTCTGATTCTCTCAGAATCAGAGAGATTGGTGTAGTCTCTTTCTAAAGGCAGTTAGTTGGCACAAGGAGAAGAGTACTGGGCCTGAAGTCATGAAGATCAAAACTCTGACACTTCCTAGCTATGTGACGCTGGACAAATTATTTAACTCCTGTTGCCTTAGTTTCCTCATCTGAAAAACAAGGCTAGATGAGGTAACATTTATAAAGTGCTTAGCACAATGCCTACTTAGGCACCTTGAAAATGCTTATTCCCTTTTTCAAATGAGCTTGGATTTGGTTATTTGTACATGCCATATCCCCCATAGTCAAAAGTCAACTCCCTGAAGGTGTTTAATCTGTTTAATTTTTTTCTGTCATTTTATCCTTAGCATTAACTACAGTATTTTGCACATGGTAGATATTTGTTGAATCAAATTAAACTGTTATAGAAGATAGCAGCATAGAAACAGAGAGACAAAAAGTCAGGCACAGAGGCGCAAAGATAAGTACAGATACTAAGACATAGACACAAATATGGAGACAGACAGAGACACTGAGATACAGAAACAAACAGAAATTTAATTCAATTCAACAAACACTTCCTAAATATCTAGAATGTGCAAGGCACTGTATTAGCTGATAGGGATGCAAAACCAAAAATGAAACCGTCCCTCTCCTCAGGGAGCTTACATTTTAGAGTGGAAACATGACATGTTCAGATAAGCACATACAAGACAATTTGAGAGGGAAGGGAACACTAGCAAATGGAGGAATCAGGTAAGGTTTTGCTTAGAAAGTGGTATTAGAAAGCAAGCTAAAGATTCTGCAGTCTGGAAATGGAGGAGTGTATTCTAGCCTTCACTAAAGTACTGACATGGGAAATGGAGTGTTGAGCTCAGGAAATGGCTGGCCAGTTTGCCTGTAGAGTATGAATATCAATGAAGTAATATGAAATACATGTAAAGGTAGATTTACTTCCGTATTGTGGAGGGCTTTAAATAGCAGACAGACATTTTACGTTTCTCCTAGAGGCAATAAGGAGTCAGTGAAGGTTTTTGAGTAGTAGAGAGACATGAGCTTGTTTCTTACGAAGCTTATTTTGACTCCTATATAGAAGATGGATTGGAAAGAGAGAGAGCAGAGAGAAGTAATTAGGAGGCTACTGTAATGGACCAGACAAGAGGTATTGAGGGCTTGGGTTAGGGTAGCGGCTGTTTCAACAGAGAGAAAAGGGATGGGGGTCAGATGTTGTGTAGATAGAGTCAACAGAACCTGGCAAATGATTGGTCAGCAGGAAGGAGGGAGAGGAAAGAATCAAGGATGCTGATATTGTGAACCTGGGTGACTGGAGGATCATGGTGCCTTCAACATGAATATGGAAGTTTGGAGGCCCAAGAGGGCCTTTTTTTAAAGAAGGAGAAGATAATGAGCTTGGTTTTAGATGTACTGAGTTTGAGACATAGAGGCAACCTCCCAGTGGAGATGTCCCATAGGTAGATGAGAATGTGGGACCAGAGCTCAAGACAAAGATCAGGGTCAAATATATAGATTTTTGGAGTTATTA